ATTATTAATAATAAAATTTTTCTTTTTAGAAAATCCCCCCATGTCCTGCGTTATGCATAATAGCTAGCATTTAATTATATGATCTTAATACATACATATATATATATAAGTCTGATTTATAATTTATTAAATTATAATTAACACAAACAGATTTCAAAATTAATCAGTCGAAATTACAAATTTATAATATTCTCATGATTCGTGAAATCCCTGAAATATATATGTTAAACTATATAAATCTCGCTTATTTAGAATAAATGTAAAAATTCGATTTATTTGACTAATTCGTTAGCATAAAGGAAATTATTAAAATAAGCATCATTATAATCTCTCAATTTTCATCATACTTTTAAATTATCAGGATCTTTAAATTCTTCGATTCCTCGATGGCTATCGCTTTTTTTAAATTTTTAGTTTCCTTCCCCTTTTGTAAGAAAATGTAATTCTTCTACAAAAGAACGACAATTATTTCCAAAATTGATTATTTCTCTCTCTCTTTCTCTGCATTCTCATGACCAGTGACTTGGGAAAGCATACACGTGTACTTTTGTTTTAATAGATTACCGTCCGGCATGCTCTACTGGATGTCCCAAAAGAACATGACCCATTAGCCGCGCTATGTCTTTATCTTGCAAACTGACATGATGGTGAAACTTGGCAAATGCGCACACCGGCGTATCATCTGAACGCAGCTGCGTAAGATTCACCCTCCGAGAATCGGTTCGAAGCGACTGCCAGAAACAGTCGTGCGTTTCATCGCGGGACATCCGTTACAAAGTATGCGCTTCTGGAGAGGGTTTGTATATAACGATATAGCTCCAACATTTATTGCTACGTATCATTTAATAATTACATGAACTTTTCTCAAACCTCCGACTCTTTTCATTTTGATTATTAGATTATTAGATTATCAGTTATTAATTATATGTAAATAAAGACAAAAGGAGAAAAACAAAAATTGCAAAGATTGTGTGTGTGTGTGTGTGTGCGCGTGCGTGCGTAAATGTATTCTATGTATTTATACACTCGAAAACTTTTCGTATATATATAATCTTTAAAAATAAACTCCCCGACGTCTTTTCCTTCTCTGTTTACCACCTCGAATAACCGCTTGGCTCGCTTACAACCTTACATGTTATAATATATCGAATATTTGAAATTTATCGAGTATGCAATAATAAGTTAATTATGTCAATATTGTCGCAAATGAATTAAATTTGTACATGTCGTGAAAATGAAAGAAGGGAGAAAGGTCAATACCGTCACAAAATTTCGTGTGCTTTTTCATAAGCACAACAGCGGAACAACTTGGAGTTATTTTATCCATCCCTGGGCGCTGCGTCTCCACCAGCGATCCACCATCTACCAGCAAGGCGCCGAGGAGGGGGACGCAATGCGCAGCTGACGGTAGATGTGGTGTCCGGACGCGCGCGGACGGCAAGGGGAGAAATGTTCGTCCGCTCGCTCTCTCGCTCGCTCGCTCGTCTCGTCGGGTGCGGGTCACCGGGAGTCGGGGGACTGGCGGGGTGCCAGCTGCGGCGCGAGCGAAGGCGCTGCCCTCGCTCTGTCAGCTACCATACTAGACTTACACACACACACACATCCGCGGAGCGAACGATTGGCTGGCTGGCTGACTGGCTGGCTACGTGCGTTTCCTCCGCGTTCCCGTTTCCCTAGACACGAGAGAGGGAGAGAGGCTGAGAGGGAGGGAGGGAGGGAAGAGAGAGAGGGAGAGTAGGGGTGTGCTCGTCGTGTCACGGACTTATACATACACGCGTTACGTTATTACACGTGTATTTCACGCACAGTAGAGCTCCTTTTCGAAACCATAGAAGCGGTGAGCGTCGTACGCTCGCAAATGTATCGCGGTCGTGATATTCCCGCGTAGAAAAAAGGAATATCGACTCGATAAACGCGATCGCGAAACAGCGTCGAGAGGGAGCGGCAGGGAATGAGCGAGAAGGACAGAAAGAGAGAGAGAAAGAGAGCGCCGTGCTCGACCAATCGCCGTGTTCCATGACTCCGTCGTCGATGAGACGGTCGTCGCGCGACGTAACCTCAGTCGCTTACGTGGAAACACGCCTGCCAGGCGACGCGAGTAAATCGAACGAGCGAAAATTATAATACGGAAAACGGACGGATATATATGTATATATATATATTATATATTATATATATATATATACGACGTTGCGTTTGAAACGCGCGATCTAAACGTCGTTCGCGCACGTACTTTCGTATTAGTACCATTTTGGAACAGAATTACACTATATACGCGAATATTCGCGTCGGACGCGAGGAACGACCCGAGAGTCACGTTGATACGCTGATTGCCAAGCAGAAAGATAAGGAGCGAGTGTGCTGTCGTGCGTGAGAACAAGAGAGAGAGGAGGCGCACCGCAACGCTCCGTAGAGAAAGGAGCCTCTCCGTGGAATCTCCTCACGCTCCCCTCCGACACACTCCGACACACTGCACAAGCACAAGGTGTCGAAGGCACGTCGCCGCGCGTATTCGACCGAATTTCGCGGCCCGTAAGCGTGAGCGAGACGAATGCAATAGATAGACAGAAGAGGGGGAGAGAGAGAGAGAGAAAAAGAAAGTGCGTATGTGTATGTTGTGTGAGAGAAAAAAAGGGAGGTAGACGTATAAGAGATACATAGAGCGATCAAAAGCAATAGAGAAGGACACCGCGATAGCGAGAAAAAGGACACGGCCGGACGTGGAAGAGAGACGGAAGAAACGGCGATCGAGTGGGAGAGATACGGATTCCTAAAGTGTGAGACAGAGTGAGAAGGGCGACGAATCGGGTGGAGCGAGAGAAACGGATAGAGCGACTCGACGGAGAAAGCGTGACGGACGTATTTCGTAGCAAGATCGGGCGGCGAGAAGGGATAAGGGAACGGACTCGGGGACGAGTACATGAAAAAGAGAGAAAGGGAAAGATTTGATTTATTTGACTAATTCGTTAGCATAAAGGAAATTATTAAAATAAGCATCATTATAATCTCTCAATATTCATCATACTTTTAAATTATCAGGATCTTTAAATTCTTCGATTCCTCGATGGCTATCGCTTTTTTTAAATTTTTAGTTTCCTTCCTAGAATCTTTTATTATTTTAAATCTGTTTGGTTTTTCTAGTAGTTTTGAATTGGTTTGTATTTTGCGAATGCAGTTGATCTCGAAAAAAGACATCACGCCGCGGTACGGATCCACGTGTGATCCACGTGCGCGATAAAGATGGATATCCTCCAATAGTTGACGAGGGGCGTGTCGGGCTTCTTGCGGCAGCGTTTGTATTTTTAATCGAGCCTTTAACGAATTCCAGTATTCTGCAGCAGCAACAGCGGCGAGCGGCGGCAGCGCGATTACGTCACGCTCGCTCGTTCGCTCATGCGTACATACACGCGTAAGCGTGTGGCCATGTACGTCATGCGCGCGCGCGCGCGCGCTCTGTATTTAATGATGAACGCTAAATCGATTTTGATCGCCCGGATTTTGTTGTTTGTATCGGCAGGTATCAGAATGAGCTTCCTAAGAAGATCAAATCACGCGGCAAGGACGCGCACCTCAATCACGAAGAGCTGGTGCAGACGATGAAATGGAAGCAAACAGTAAGTTGCTTTTTTCTCGTTGGAGTAACACCCACATTCTGCCAAATCCAAATAAAGTTAATAAAGTTCATCTTAAATATTAAGTTAAGTTAAAGTGGAATTGTATTTAAAAGATGTACGAGAGAGAAAAAATAATATTAGCGGTAAAATATGAATAGCAATTTTTTTAAGTATATATGGCTATAAAGTTATAGAAGTGTATATATATTATAGTTTATGATTTATTAATTATACATAATCATATAATTCTTATAAAAAAGACTACATTAATAAAAATCTTAATCAGGAACATAATATTATTTTTGGGCAAATTATTTTCGAGAGGTGTGATTTCCTGTTTCACATTTCAAATCATTGATTGCTTTAATAGATTATATAAAATTTGCTGATTTGGAATTTGACAAAGTCTGATTTTTATTTATAATATCCTTCGCGATGTTTGATAAGTGTAAATGGAAAGATTTTTAGGAAACCAAGTAATTCACGATCCAAGTGTTTCACGAGGCTGTCTGCCATTTTGTTTTCAGCGCGGCAAGTTCTACCCACAGCTGTCCTACCTGGTGAAGGTGAATACACCGCGCGCCGTGATGGCCGAAACAAAGAAAGCGTTCAAAAAGCTTCCGAATCTCGAACAGGCAATTACAGCGTTATCGAATTTGAAGGGCGTCGGTACTACGATGGCGTCTGCCCTGCTCGCCGCAGCATCGCCGGAAAACGCGCCCTTTATGGCTGACGAGTGCCTGATGGCGATACCGGAGATCGAGGGCATTGATTACACCACTAAAGAATACCTAAATTTCGTCCAGCACATTCAAAACACCGTCGAGAGGCTGAACAAACAGAGTAAGCAATTATGAATCATTTACGTTCGCGTGTATGCACTGGTCCCGTCCGAGTTGCGCATATTACTGTATTAAATCCTTGGAAATGAGATTCTTTGATTATGCGATCCTTAAATCTTAATTGTTAGATTTTTTACATTTTACATTATATATATATATATAAAAGACAATTTTTTATTTAACAATATATTAAATATTCGGGATTGTGACGAAATATAAAGAACATTTTTAAATATTATAAAAAATTTTCTTTATTTTTTAGCATCCAATGGTAAGACATGGAGCCCACATAGAGTCGAGCTGGCACTGTGGACGCATTATGTGGCATCTGAGCTAAAGCCAGAGTTGCTCGATGGCATCCCGGGCTCGACGGAGAACGGCAACTCGCACGGCGCCAGCAATGGTGAGGCAACGGAGCCATCGGATGACAGCAATCAGGAGACGGTAGCGAATGGCAAGGACACGGCGGCGCTTGATCCGGCAGCGATCGACGAGAACAGCACGACAACATCCTTCACTGAAGATTCGATGGACAAGCCGGCAACACCGATCACTGCCAGCGATCATGCCGTCGTAGGCGCCAGCGAGGACACAAACGATTCCATCATTACCAACGACAGCAGCAACAACGCGACGCCACGACCTACCGACAGCGAGGACACCGAGGAGGACTCGCAAGACGCGCAGGAGCCGCCCACCAAGAAGAGCAAGAAGTGACCCGATCAGCTCGGTGACGCGACAAGCAACAACGTCAGCACTTTCGTGCCCGCCAGAAGTCTGTCGATCATTGCGGCACCGCGTCGTCGATTCTGAATCATCAATCCGGATGATGGACCGACGGACGGACGTACGACGGATGGACAGATGAACGGATAGGTAGAATAGAAGATGGATGCACGGACGGACGGACGGACGCGGATGAATGGATGAATTATTCTATTTGTGCGATTGCTTGGACGGAGCATAGCCGCTCGCTTCATCCTCGGCTCTTATTGCAGCAGGGGGAGCGAGAAAAAAAGGAAAAGGATTTGCGGGATTCCAGAATATTCTGAATGCATTCTGAAATCCTCGAATCTTTTATCTCACTCTGTTTCTTTCCCTCTTTTGATTTTTCCCGCATTTCATCCACGATTATGTCTCGTTTTCTTATGGCTCCTCCCGTTCTGGTAGGCATTTTTACCGAGTGACCGACAGATATGCATTCTCGTTGATGCTAAATGTCAGCTGGTGATACAGCTAGATTCTCATTGTTGTTGTTCGGACAATCTCGTGCATTCACGTAAATGTCAACAAGAGTTTTGCACCGTCTTTTGATTATGGATCTCCTGTACAAAGTATGTTGGAGCGGACGAGGAAACGTGAAAGTATATATACTCAGTGTTGCTAAAAATAAAATATTTTCGCGAATATATACGTATAAGAGATAAGCCTTTATGTATCCCTATTAATGATATTTTGCATATCTTTTATAAAACATTAATTTCTTTGACTAATATATATCTCGAATTCTTTTGAAACGTCTCATATAATATTTAAGATCTTTGGATTTTGTTGGAGATTAAAAATTTACTGTGAAGCTTTGAATTATCTTAAATTTGTTTAAAAAAAACTTATGAAATGTGAAAATTTTGCGTTCACAGAATTAAGGTGCTTAGATTTCTCGATCATGCTGTTCTATGTTGAATCGCGTACATTGTTACATCTTTGAATCGCCTAATTCGCCTGAATGCTCCCTTCTTTCACGACTCCTTGATCGCCGCTCTTCAACGCTAACACAACTGCCGTTCTACTAACAAGAAGATGATGCAAAACTTTCTTGAAATATACATTTCTCGTTCACTTTATAATCCACCTTTCACAGTGTCATATATTCTAAATAACGAGACTCCCTCGTTCTATTTATCTTCGATCGTCGCAATCTTTCTTTGGAATTTCCGATCGCGAAACTTACATGTCGCGTTATTTTTTTTTCTTCTTTTTCTTCAAGATAATCCCAATAGTTAATTTAAAAAGGTGTAAAGCGATGTTGTATGTTTACGTGCAAATAATCATAGATTTTACGAATAGAACCTGTAAATCGTGACTTAAATTATGAAATATGCACTCGTAATACACGCGAGTTGAGTATACAAAAAATAAAAATTAAATGCAACTTTTTATTTCTTGTCTATTATGAGAGAACCATACAAAGCAACATTCAAGGATTCTACGTGAGCGTAAATATCTAACATCAACATAAAATTTTACACGTCTCCCAACTGCAAACTTCTTGAAAATATGAAAAAATTCAATTAAATATTTTTGCATCCTTAAATTTGTAAAATATTTGATTTTTTGAAAAGAATCTTTGTAGGATCATGTGTATGGATTCTTTTCAGGATGCGTGTATAGTTTTCAGTTATTTGATGATCGATCATGTTTTAGTTTTTTTACGACGTGAATTAATGTACGGTGGAGTTCTCGAATTATTCCTTGGGAAGAGATAATCATTGTTGCAAAAAAGGAGGGAGAGGAAAAAAAAGAGTGAGAGAAGGGGAGATGTATGTGAATGGAGAGAGGGGGAGAAGAGAGCAAATCACTCCGTGAGCAACAAAAAAAAAAAACAAAAGCGAAAA